AGTTATGGAGCTTTTTCCTCCGCGTTTACCACGCAACAGGTCATGGGATCGGATCCCTGCTGAGCTTAACTTTTTTGCTTCTTGCGCAAACGTGGCAAAAAGTGGTTGTAGCGTCACTACTACATTAGCGCTCTCCTAAACTTGCCTGAAAACAGTACTTACTGACGCGCTTGGTGCCTTGTGATCTAGGAGAATTTCTGGATGTACAGGTGCCCTTGGCGCACAGTGCAGGCGTTTTCGCGCTGAGCGAGTGCCATATTCGTATTTATCGGGGCGAACTACGCCTAGGTAGAGGTTTCTAGCCAAATCTGGCATTTTGACCTGACTTCGAAAAGTGAAGCATCCATGGGTTAGTTCAGTTGATGTTCACACCTTCAGCTGCAGATACATTCTCCTGCACAAGCCTCGTCTTGCCACTTCTTACGCATTCATTTTGTTACTGCTCCAGTTTTCCTGGTATCTAAAAGCAAATTCCGTCCAAAGACAAGCAATCGACAAGAGACTGGCCCTGGAACTATTGGTGACCATCATTCGATCAACTGCTACCGCACTTTTCAAAGTTAGGTCAAAACCTCACATCTGGCTAGAAACCTGTCCCCAAGGGTAGTTTTGCTCCCTGAACACGAATATGGCACCCATTTGGCGTTTGAGTGTTTTCTAGACTTAAAAGAGACATTCCCCACAAAATGCAAAGAAGCATCACTCCTATGAATCCGAACCCTTCATGGCATGCACGCGAAGCAAGACCGCTACCACTACACCATGCCACCGTTGCGTGCACAGCTGCTTCGCGGCTATTCATGCAAATTGGCTGGCAACCGCGCTCGACTCCGTGTCCCTTCATTTTAATTCTAATAAACCTTCATAATTCCTTTCAAAGAATCGTTCTGCAAATTTCGAAGGCAGATTTGAGATCAGCGTTCAAAAACACGTCCCGTGATATACGTCTCTTTACAAATGGCCACTTCGACCTGGCGACCATCCCTAGTCAGATGTTTAGAACTTCTGCCTAGGCATGCATACACGTCGTGAACTGGACCCCATTTTTTTGAAGTGAAATTTTCAGATATGTGAAGAATTACTTACGCGATGTCTTGCTCCCGATTCGCAAATGGGAGGTGTAGGATGTGATAATATGACGGTAAGCTACACTCGCGTTCATACTTAGCGACGGGAGCGATCCAGTCCCAGAATTGGGAACTGTGCGCTATGACTAAACGAACTTGTCTGACCGCTCCAACTAATGGGGGCAGTCTAGAAGCGAGTACGTGAAGGCGCAGGCGGCCAAGCTTGCGCCGTGTCCAGCGAGTAGCGGTGAAGCGCAGCGCACTTGCGCAGCTGAATCGCTGGAGTCGCGAGGTATGAACGCCAGCCTGCGTAAAAGTTTCAGTTTTCAAAATACATTTTAAGGTAGTCATCGTTGGACTGCTGCAGAAACAAGGTCCAGAAAATCTTGTCAGCAAGTGTGCGCGACCATCTCGTGCTGATCAATCCAAGGTTTGTCGGTACTTACGTGTACTAAGCTTTGTAGGCGAAAGAGTGTATTTTCCCTTTTATGAGAATGGGTGCAGCTCGGCGCGTTTTAGATCCCGGATCGGATTTCGAAGCAAGTAGGCTTCATCTGCAGGGGCGGTTGGCTGCTTGCTTTGGGAGAAAAATGGGAGGAAAAAAAAGCCCTGTATGTTGGCTGATCACCACAAGTTCATTGAATAAACGGAAGCGCATTCATATTCCACCACAATCTCGAATGGAAATTGGATGGGTAGCGCACCTCAAAAATGGACTGTTCAAAATGGAATGCTTTATCCACTGTCCTTTTTCACTTGCTGCTGCTAATACTTTGTACTCAGTCCCCTCGTCGCCTTAGGCTGGTAATACCTTTGAGGCTGTCTGGGATTGTCGTAACTCGGTCAGCGCAATGGTTGTACAGCTATAGTGGTTTGAAAGTGAAGAAAGAAGTTGCGGGAAGTATGCCACCGAGGTTGTGCTTTGCCATGTTGGTAGCTTTAGTGGCATACCTCTTGCAGTGCGTATTTCTTTCTGCGGTGCGGTCACCTATGTACTGTCTCGACATTTCGCGATTTTCAGTTTCTTTAGTGTGGCTTATGCATAGTGGAGTCGAGCGTTGTCGTGAAGTACAAGCAGTCCCTCTCTGTTGTACACTTCCAGGCTGAGCTGAGCTGAAGTTCACGGTGCACTCCTTTGGTTTCGTGACATTACTTTCAACTGTATTGGTGTCGTTTGGATGATGGAGCAGGATAGCTGTAAACGAAAGACCATCGTAATCTTCCTTCCGTGCTGCTTCACGCTAGAGGGAACGTTGAGCTAGTTTTGGTCCAGAACACTGAACAGATCATCGTCAGTTGTACGTGATTTCCTCTCATCAGTTCTTGCAACACGACGTTCTAGTCCTGATTCAATTTGTGCTGCCCCACTTATCAAGCTTCCTCGACTTTCTAGTCCCCTGCACTTGGGCACAAACCATCGTCCTTGAAACATTTAACCTCGAGGCAATGTCACTCAACGTCGCACGCGAATTTTTTTTCGATCATACCCTCATTTGAGTAGTCGATATGCGATGGCTGCTCTCCCCGTTCCTGATATTCAACGCCCTCATCGCTGACAGGAAGTTTCTTGAACACCCATTACGCAGTGCTTTCATTTGCCGTTGCTGGGCCAAACGCTTCGGATATCCCGAGTAGTCCCCAAGCTTTCCCAATTTGAACCGAA